TATATATATATATATATGTTGTGGTTAAATTATTCTTATTTATTAAAATTTGATGTCCAATGTTAATAAAAACATAACACACTCCTACAGTCGCCGCCCATTACTTTTTGCAATGAAGCCGCTTGCGGAATCAAGACATGAACTACAGAATCTCGACATACGTTACATAGTAATGAAGCAGTGCATTGATGCACACCAAAGTCAATGTATTGACGCACCCCAGATATGGTGTAAGGATGCATCTTGAAGATAACGTAATTATGCACCCTAGGTACGATGTAACGACACCCCTAAGTATAGTGTAACAACACACCTCAAAATGATTGCTCGCAACTAACGCACTTAAAAGATAGTGATCTTTTCCGAGCTCTTGAAGTTCTCTCATTGCAGCCCGCCATTATGACTTACATGGTCTACAACTCATGAAATTCCTAAATCTTCTTTTGCGGCCTGCAGATGTCATCACAACTAATGCAACTCCAAACGCCGACCTCTACGACTTACAAACATTTTCATAGCTGACGCAGCTCTCAAATCCTACCTCGGTGGCCTACAAAAGTTATAACAACTCGTATAACTCCCAACTCCAACCTCTTTGACCTAAGAAAGGTATCATAGTCCCCTTCTATGATTGTTGTGGCCAATCGATGCTCTTAAAGTTATGGCTCATGTAGCCAACCACTACCAGGGTTTTCAACTACAGCTTCTACGATAAACTGACGCTACAATCACAGTCTTAAGTTCAAGTCGAATTATTACCTCAATAGCAATTGATTACGACATTTACAACCCATGAAGACTATTATTGTTGAAATATCGTTGTACATCAACTTTATAATTCCAACTTCTCTAACTCAGGAGAAGAGTGACATGTTTGCTCATAATTATTATTTTAATTAAGCTAGACACAGTGGTTTTTTTCTCTTTATAGGGTTTACTATATAAAGTTATCCCCAGCCTATTACTTTAATTACCCGGTGCTAAATTTTTGTGTAACACTAACATGTTAAATAATCACTCAACCTTCATGAATCATTCATCAAACATTAGTTTAACAATTTATATGGGAAACAAAATTTAATCGAGTGCAGTCTTGAGGTCTAGGATGACAACTCTCTGTTTTGTTTTCCAATGAAATACATCAAGATCAGTTAGGAGGTGAATGTGTTGTGATAACATCAATAAGCCATAGAGGCTAGAGTTGAGAGTTGCATGAGCTGTGATAACATTCATAAGCTATAAATGCTAGAGCTTAGAGTTGCATAAGCTGAGGATCACGTAAGATTGGTGGGCTACAATGAGAGAGCTTCAAGAGCTCTGAGTATATCGCTACATTCTAAGTACGATGCTTATAAATAGTCATTACAGGGTGTGTTGTTGCACTATTTTTAAATGCATCGTTACATCATTTGTAGGTTGGTTTATTGCACCATATTCAAGGTGTGTTGTTACTTCATCTTTAGGATTTTTCATTACACTGCATGTAAGGCACGTCGTTGCACCCTATCCGAGTGCATCCTTATATTATATTCGGGGTGCGTTGTCACACCATCTTCGGGTGCATTATTGCACTGTTCTGTATGGTGCTTTTGTTAGTTTGCAACTAATATCGAGATTCTGCAACATACATCATGATTCATTAAGGGGCTTCATTACAACAAGTAGAGAGCATCCGACAGTGACATTGGCCGAAGATTGTAGGAGTGGGTGACATTCAATGGGTCTCCGATGTAGAACACTAGATCACAATTCCTTCTCTTTCAAGCTCTGGGCTTCCTTCGATTCAAGGTCCGGGTCTTCTTTCATGAAGAAGGTAGGGCTCTATTTATAGGGTTTGGGAGAAGCATCTTTGGAAATAAGAAAAGAATATGAACCACAAAATCAGATGAACCCGAGAGATTCCCTCGACCAGATGACATTTTGTGGAACTTTGAGTATCTTAATGATGTCTGAATTGAGTGATCTTGGGCTTGTTGGATTTATTTCATCGCGATTCTCGATTCAACAATAATCTTGTTAGACTTGAATTTTATTTGCCCTTTCAATTGAGCACTAAAAGCTTCTAAAGATAGTTTAAAGGCTCGATCTGGGATTGATTTGACTCAAATTAAACTAACTTTGGTGTCATGGTGTTCATTTTGTGGAACTCAATTTGACTATAAGTTTGTTGAAATTGAAGTTATGAATGAATTTTAATTGAATTTTGATTGCTTATTGCAAAAAAAAATTACCTCAAAATTCATGCTTCATCATGTGATTCATGTCAGATGATGAGAATTTTATTGATAACATAACACATTTATTTATTTAAAAATTTTACTCTGAATAAATGCCATCTTGTCCTAATATATTTTAAATGCTAACTTCTATAACTTATATCGAAAAAGAAAGAAGATATGTGATCCAACACTTTTGACGTGCTTTTGATAAGTAAATAAAAGGGTAAAAATTGAAACAAAAGTTAAAAATTTATGTGAATTTATAAATATTTTAAGTACAATAGATTTTGGGTGAGTTGTTACACTACTTTCAAGACATGTCATTACACCGTCTTCGGGGTGTATCGTTGCATCATATTTAGGATGTATTGTTGCATTGTACTTTATTACCATGTAAGGTCCACCAATGATGACAAGCAGGGGACAAAGGACAATAGTCGACAAGGGTCTGCGATCTATGGTCGATGGTGGTCGAGCAAGTTGTAGGAGCATTGTACTTTATACAACTTCATTGGACATATCCGAGAGATTTCTACGTGTCATGATAATGTCAGAACTGAGTCATATTGTGCTCGTTGGATTTGCCTCATCGAGACATTCAATTGGATTATAAGCTTATCATATTTGAAATTCATGTAATCTTTTAATTAGTGATCCATAGCTTTCAAATGTGGTTTTACTGTTAGATCAGTGCTTGATATGAATCAGATTGGACTAATTTTGATATCTTTGGGTGTCTCATGGAACAGATTAGTTTATAAGTAATGTTAAAATTGAAGTAATTTTGATATCTTTGGTTGTCTCATGGAACAGATTAGTTTATAAGTAATGTTAAAATTGAAGTTCAAAATAATTTTTAATTTGAATTTGGGTGTTTAGTCAAATGATTTAAAAAAAACTGTTTTCTGATGGTAAAAGCTGGAAAATGCCAATCACCTGCAACTTTATCGAATCAACGGTCCTTTTTCATGCTCCTGTCAGATAAAACAATTCGAATGGAATGAAGGAGTCATGCAATTTTTAAAATCTGGAGGGGCTCTTTCGCATAAAACTCCCAACGTTCCTCATTTGCTCAAGGAAAAAGGTAATTTATCACTCCCTTCCGCCTCCACTTCTGTACAAACTCCCAAATCAACCCCATGCCCTAGTGGTTTCTCCAGAGCTTTTTCGAGCATGGTTGGGAGAGAAGAGATGGAGAATACGATGACTGTAACCCAGGTTTTCTCAGTGATAGCGAACGAAGGAGCGGCGCCATCTGAAACCCAAACCCTAGCCTTTGACGAGTGCTTGAAGCCAGCGAAGATGCTGAGAAATGCTAGCGCAGAGGTGGACACCTCGGCGCCGTTCGAGTCTGTTAAGGAGGCTGTTGATAGATTTGGAGGGAGCGCAGTTTGGAAGTCTCAGCTGAAGCAGTTTTCTAACGCTGTCGTGAGTAAATTTTCTGTATTTTGTTTATGCTTTTTCTCTCCAATAATTGAACATTCTTTTGGCTTTTAATTATTTATTAATCAAGTCATTGTAATGTCTTTCATAGCTGTCTAAATATCATTGCATTTCATCTATACTTAAAAAATTTATGTTCTTTTATGTTAGAGCCAAATCTACTGTTTTTTCTTAATTAATTTATAATATATACTTCACTACAATGTTTATTCTGCTCTTAAAATTTACTTTTTTCCTTAGAACTCTTATTTTGTAATTTCTCAGAATAATTTTGTCATATTTTTTTGAATCTCATCATCTTTAACTGATGCTATGTGCTAAAAAATTTAACAACTTAAGGTTATACAAAATTCTCACAAACTCATTGATATGTTTAGAATAATACACATGAGATATAAGTGAATAAAATAATTCCATTAGTGTAAGTGAAGAATTATAAAAGTCATGCCTTATAACTAAATAAGGCATGATTACAATATAATGAATATGAATCATCTAAGATGCCTCTTATGGTGGTATTAGAAGTTCTAAGGTAGGAAAATTATCATCGGGCAGTAGTTGTTTAATGATAGCAGATGATGAATGTTGGGAGTCATTGGATAAGAGTCAGTTAGTTTGCTCATTACTCTCATAGGAGAGAAATTTGTGTGATCTAGAGGATGAACATTGTAAGTCGTTTGTTGGCATACTTTGGGTGATTGATGATATTGAAGATTGGAAGTTGAGCTACTTTGGACGATTGACTTGATCATTTTTTTTTTTGATAGGAGAGGAGATTATCTAATTGAGAAGATGGGTGTCAGATATTTGTCATTGGTAAACATTAGAGCATGATTAATGTGAAATGTTGAAAATCGAGCTATGAGGGACGATCAAGTTGGTTGTTATTTGATAGGGGAGGAAGCCGACAACCCATATGACTGGCATTAGAGGAGAATGACGATGCATTTAATTTTGAAAGCTATATGATAATAATAGTCGACTTTGTTGTTCCCTGATAGAAGAGGAAATTGGACGGTTGAGAAGATGTGCTTTAGACTTCAATTCTTGGTAGTCATTAAGTGTCACTGTATAAGAAATGCCAAAAGTCGAGTGATGATGGATGTTTCGTGTTGGCCGTTCTCTTAATAAGAGAGGAGATAGGACAATTGAGAAGGCAAGCAACAAATGTTTGTTGTTGATGCCATTGGTCACTAGCAAGCATTGGATGACGACCAACAATGAACATTTGAAGTTGAGCAACTATGGTTGATGTGCTTGGTAATTCTCCTAATATGAGAGGATCGGGAGTCTGTTAAGAGAAGCATAAGATATTAATTGTTGTTAGACATCAAACATGCGTCGATAGCGAACATTGGATGACAACCAAAAGGGAATGTCAGAAGAAAGAAAGTGATAGACAATTTGTCTTGTCATTCTTCCGAAAAAAGAGAAGATTAATTAATTAGAAAAAATGAAGTCAAAAGACAATCAATGGAGAACAATAAAAGTTGGGTGATGTTGGGTTGTCAACCTGGTCATTCTTCTTATAGGATAGTAGATCAAACAATTTAAATGGCAAGATCATTGACAATATTAAATGAGGTCTATAAGTAATTGTTGAAAATGAGCAAAAATGGGCATTCAATTTGGTCATTTTCCAAAGATAAAGGGAAACTGGACAGTCAAAAGTCAGGCATTAGATGTTGATGGATATGCAGATGCTGGTTGTTAGTTGATGAGGAATGTTGAATGTTAGAGTGTTTGTGGATAAAGAATGGAGACCATGCTATGAAGAAAATAAGCATTTGAAGTTGGCAGCTAACAATTGTAGATCATTAATATACGTTTGATGATGCTGGGAGATCAATTTGATTGTTGTCTTGATCAAAGTGAAAATCAATAACCGATAAAAGGAACCTTAGTTGTCAACAAACATCTAACGTCGGTTTTTGGTGAGAAAAGTGACGATCAATGAGGAATGTTGGAAGTTCAGCGCTTGTGGATAGAGTTGAATTAATCGTTCTTATTATGGAGGGTAGGTTAAATGATTAAGAAGGTTGGTGTCTGGTAGAAGACTAATGGACATCAAATGAGGGTCACATTAAACATCAACTATCTTATCATCCAGTTAGGAGAGTAGATGTTTTAGATTAGACTTATTTTCAGAAAGGCAGAGACAAACCTAAAAAGACTGGGGCATATTGTATAAAAAATGATCTTAATCTATTAGATTTAAATGAAAATATGACAATAAATAGGACACAATGGAGAAAAAAGATTCATGTAGCTGATTCAGCTTAGGATATGTTTGGGATAACTGTAGCGCTACTGAAAAAACAATTGTTCAAAAAACTACGTTGGTTATTATAATTTTTTTTAAAAAAAAATCAGATCGCAGCTTTCCGACAGCCACTGCAAGTAGTCAAGTATGGTGGAAAAACACAGTTTTTAGCTGCAATTTTTTGAGAACACAGACAAAAATTAGTTTTATCAAACAGGAAAAACTGCAATGCGACACCACACTGCTGCCGTATCGCCACCCGAAACACGCCCTTAGTAGAATAAAGGCTTATTATTGTTGTTGTATATTTGTATATAATATATTTTTTAGACCATTAATAATTATAATTAATAAATTTTAAAAACTTCATTAAATCATTTATAATATTACTTGCTTATTAATAATATTTAATAAAACATTTTAATTAGTTTTTTATTTTTAAATAATATTGAACCTTTACCACTACCAGTGCCATTAATAATGTGTTAAACACTGTCATTGCTGTGTCATAAGCTCCGGATTTTAAAAACAAAGAGTTGCATTAGGTAGTCGACATCAACGTAAAATTTATCAAAAAATCTTGACATAAATCTTTTAAATCCTTGTGTAAATGTTTGGGCATCCCTTAGAAGCGACGCACGTATGATCTGAATACAGTAAAAAGTGTGCAATGACCGCTACACTGGCGTGTGTAGTTTTCAATAAGCAAGAGTTTCCGCATTATGGACAGATTCGGGTAAATAAATTAGTCCATGAAACTAATATAAATAAATCTTGAAATATAGATACTCTCACTGGTAAATTAATAAAATTAATTGATATTATGATTAATAGGAAGATATATATCATATGTATTCAAGAAACTAAATGAGTTGGATAAAAAAACTAAGAAGATTGATAGTTTAGGTTTTAAATTTTGGTATTCTGGTATTAGTCACATTAGAAATGATGTTGGTGTAATTACAGATAAGAGTTTGAAACATAATGTTGTAAAAATTAATAAAATTGTAGTCATAATTATAACCCTTAAGATTGTTGTTGATACTAAATTTTTTTAATATTATAAGTGTGGAGGCTTTAAAGAAAATCAATGGTGAAAAATCGGTAGTACTTGATGATATTACAATTGAAGTATGAAAATCTTTAAGAGATTAAGAGTTTCTTGGCTTACTAAACTCTTTAATAGTATTTTAAAAACTAAAAAGATGTTTGGGGAGTGAAGGAAGAGTAGTTTGGTTCCTATTTAAAAATAAACGGGATGCACAAGAGTGTGCAAAGTATAAAGGATTAAGTCGATGCTTCATTCTTTAAAATTATAAAGATTTCTCATAATCAGTTTGAATTTATGCCCATCAGGCCTACTATGTAAGTTATACATTTATTGAGAAGTTTGATGGAGAAGTACAAATAGAATAAGGAAGGAGGTACATATGACTTTTATTGATTTAGAAAAAGCTTACGTTAAGGTTCCAAGAGAAGTCTTTTGGAGAGTTCTAGAGAAGAAAAGTGTTGAAATGAAGTCATTAAAGATATATACTAGAGCTATTACTACGTCGATGTGTCATATTTTAAAATTATGGGAGAGGGTAATTGAACATAAGTTAAATTATCTTCAATTACCCGCTCCCATAAGTTTAAAATGTGCTATAAAGATTTCTCATAATCAGTTTGAATTTTTGTTGGCCAGGTCTACCATGTAAGCTATACATTTATTGAGAGGTTTAATGGAGAAGTATCGAGAGAATAAGGATGAACTATATATTTTTTTATTAATTTAGAAAAAAATTATGATAATGCTCCAAGAGAAGTCTTTTGGAGAGTTCTAGAGAAGAAAATGGTTGATATGACTTATATTCAAGTCATTAAAGATATTTGTTCTAGAGCTATTATATGTGTACAAACAGAAGGAGGATTGACAAAGTTTTTTCTTATTTCAGTTGGATTACATCAAGGATCGACTTTAAGCCCATTTTTTTTGCTTTATTTTTTTGCTTTAGTTATTTTTTTGCTTTAGTTATGGATGCTCTTACTGGACATTTACAGGAGGATGTACCTTAGTGTATATTTTTTGCTGATGATATCATTTTTTTGAATAAGACTAGATAAAGTGTTCATGACAAAATTGAATTATGGATTCTACATTGCAGTCAAAAAGCCTTCGTTTGAGTATAAGTAAAATTTAATATATGGAGTGTGATTTTAGTAGTAATAGCTTTAGTGGCTGAGTTGTAATTATGGCTGATCAAATCATTAAAAGGTGTGAACGTTTAAGATATCTTAGATTTATTATTCAAAGTGATGGTGATATAGATGTGGATGTTATTAGTAGAATTCAAGTTGGTTGGTTGAAGTGGAGGAATGCATTGGGCCTATTGTGTGATAAAAAAATACCGCATAGACTGAAAGGAAAGTTTTATAAGATGGTGGTTGTCGGTCGTTATTTTTGAAAAGGAAAGGAATGATGAAAAAGGGATGGTTTTTGTAAAATATGAAAATAGTTTTAATATAAATATGATTTTTGAAAGTAATATTTTAATTTAAAAATAGATGAGACCAAACGAGTCACACATATTAAATAGTTTGGACAGCTGAACGCGATATCACAAGTAATACGCTATCATGAAGAATAAGCATATCACTTGATAGTAGGCTTAACCACCTAAACTAAGAAGTTTATGACATCCGTTTGGTTTGCAAAACCTTTTATGTATGGTCGGCAAGT